GGGAGTGTGTTGTGTAAGGTGAACACAGGCTTTGGGGTCAGCTAGAGCAAGAGGTCAAATTCCATCTCTGCTGTTTACTAGCTGGGTAAATTTGGGCAAGTTGTGCAACTTTTCTGAGCTTCTGTCTTCTCATTTGTAAATTGGGAATAACAAAATCTACTTCATAGAGTTGTGAGGATCGAATCCCTGGCCTTATCCCTGGCACGTGTTGTAGTGTTGTTGGGTACCGTGGAGTCGATTCTGACTCATAGTGACCCCATGTGACAGAATACAACTTGCCCCATAGGGTTTTCCTGCCTGTAATCTTATGGAAGTAGATTGCTAGGTCTTTCTCCTGTGGAGCTGCTGGGTCTGTTTGGACTACCAACCTTTCGGTTAGCAGTCAAGCTCTTAGCACTTAACCATTGTGCCACCAGGGGTCCTCTATGCCTGGGACATGGGAGGTAATTAATGAATGGAAATTCCTGTCCCCTAGAATTCGTGATGACACAAAATGCAGCATAGGGTGAAGAGCATCCTGGACCCACCCAAGGCACCAGCAAGACCATTCGCAAAGGTCTTAGAAGGCACAGCTTCATCTATAATATAACCAGACTGACTTTCTACCTCAATCTTCCCAGCAGCCATGATATCAAATACCTTGTTCCAGAAATTCTAGTATTTCCACATCCAAACCACATCACCCAAACTGCACCCAGCACTGGCCCAAGTATCCTTTGTTAGGTCACTGCGTCCAGATTGGAGACCCTGTTATTCGGTTTCGTTTCTCACACTCATTCATATAGTTACACAGTTACTTCCCCACTTGAAGTTGTGAAGATGAGATGGGACAAGAATGAACAGAGAGCAAATCATTCCCACTCATGTGTGCCCTGGCAGAGAGCCTGAGACAAGAGTGTGGAGGGCCTTTGATAAATGCAAAGAGTACAGAAATGAGTTAACATAGCAGGCCGAATTGCTATCCTTGAAAATACCTAAACTGCTATCCTTGAAAAGAACTGCTTGCAAGAATGGCCCTTGGCTGGTGTCTGGGAACTTGGATATCAAGAGGGTTCCCACCAGTAACTGATAGGAGTGGTTCATTGTGCCCAAATAGTTTGTACAAGCAATGTGGTTTATGTTGAACCCCTGCTTTCCTTTCAGGAGTCTGGAATTTTGGTATGTGCTAGGTAGAGGGTGGCTACATGATTAGCCTCCAACAAAAATCCTGGGCACTGAGTCTTTAACAAGCTTGCTTCCCTCGTGGACATTTCACATGTGTTGTCACAACTCGTTGCTGGGGGAATTAAGTGTGTCCTGTGTGATTCCATTGGGAGAGAACCCCTGGAAGCTTGTGTCTTGTTTCCCTTTCCCCGGACTTCGCCCCATGCACCTTCTCCCTGTGCTGATTGAGCTTGGCATTCTTTCACTGTAATAAGTCAGCCATGAGTACAACTATATGCTGAGTCCTATTAGTGAATGACAGAACCTGACGGTGGTCTTGGGGACTTTTTGACATACCACAGAATCAAGTCACCATAAGCAATATGCTGTTGCCTGGATAAATCCCCTGGGGTGCCCCAAAGGGAAATGTAGTATCCCAGGAGGCCGAAGTACTTAGCAAGTGAAACATGGAAGGGACTTTTGTGAAAACTCAAGTCAAATTTCATCTGACTCCCCTGGGGTGGGCTGACCAAAGCCTCCCCCAACCCTTCGTCTGCAAAGGTGCCCACTGCACCTGCACCCCCAGGCCACAGACTGTTCCTTCACTGTCTGACTGGCATCCCTAGTCTGAGGGGCAACTTTGGAAGGGGTGCCTGTGGAGCAGAGAGATGAAGAGCACAAAGCCTGCCAAAACTGACCAGGTCATCAGGGTGGTTCCAGATGTTGAAGCCCATCGCCCACATATCTGTTGGCTGTGTTCTGGCCCCTACTCCCCACCTGGCATCTCAGGCTCTCAGCAAAGACCTGAGCCAATGTGGAGGAGGCCCAGGGGACGGCTGGGTTACTAATGCTGCCCAGCCAGCTGCCAGCACAGGCTGGCGAGAGGATAGACACATTCTTCTCTGACAAGCAGCAATGAATGATCACCAGGCTACAGGCCAACACCCAGAGAGCAGCTGACCTCAGACTGCATAATCCTTATCTTGAGGTGACAGCAGCAGCAGTGGCAGGAACGGGGACTCTGGAAGGGCTGAAAACCTGACCAAAGTTGTTCCCAGCCCAGGGACCACTACTCCATGTGCTTCTTTCTCCCAACCCTGCTCTCGGGTTAAGCATGTGGATGCAGAGGCACAAAGCACAGGCACTGGAGCCCAGGAAACCAGAGGACAAATAAGCAGGTGTCGAAACAGGACCAAGAAGCTATGAAGTGAATCTGCAAACCTGCCACATGCCAGGCATTGTGCTAGGTGCTCTGCACACATTTTTTTTTTAATTATTTACTCTTTCAAACCAAACTTTCAGAGCCCGGGTGATGCAGTGGTTAAGAGCTTGGCTGCTAACCAAAAGTCAGCAGCTGGAATCTACCAGCTGCTCCTTGGAAACCCTGTGGGGCAGTTCTACTCTGTCCTACAGAGTTGCTATGAGTCAGAATTGACTTGATGGCAACGGGTTTGGTTTTAACTGCCCTCTCAGACAGAAACTACTGTTCCTATCTTGCAGACGGGAAGACTGAGGTTCAGAAAAGTTAAGTGGCTTACCAATGGTCCTGTGTTAGTATGTGGCAGAGCCAAGATTCAACTCGACTCTTTTTGACTGCAAGAATAGTGAGCTTTGCCCCATATCATGACAAGGTGGCCATGGGTGAAATTCACAAGAGAAAGCATCTCTGTGTCCCACTAGGAGAAGGAGATCCCATCTGTCCCTGAATGACGGGTGACTTCTCAGAAAAGGGGGCAGGGCTGAGTGAGACTTGGGGAAGTAGAAAATTCAGCCCATCTCTTGGGAGTGAGGTGTAAAGATCCACACTAATACCTGAGTAAGGATCTCACACTCTCTCACAGCTCTCAGGAGAAACAGCTCGTCGTGTGTGAGCGCAGGTTACTTTATCTAAGCACTACTGCAATGTCTGAGACCCTGGTGGTACAAAAGGTTAACATGCTCGGCTGTTAACCAAAAGGTTGGAGGGCTGAGTCCACCCAGAGGCACCTTGGAAGAAAGGCCTGGTAATCTACTTCCACAAAACAGCCACAGAAAACCCTACGGACAACAGTTCTATTCTGACACAGATGGGGTCTCTGTGAGTCAGGGTCGACTTGACAGACTGGTACTGCACTGGTACTGCAATGCCAAGGAGAAGGAAGGCATTAAGCAGGTGGTCCCTTCCCACCTCCTCCCCTTGCTCAGTATCTGGCAGGACAACAACTTGCTGATGCTGCTAGCCCAGGTCACAAAGAGGAAGACGTTTAGGAAGTCGCAGCCAAAGAGATACATACATCAATGATGACACCTTTGTCAAGCAGGCTCTGCTTCTTGGCTGTCATGACAAAATAGTGGGTGCAGTCCTTGTAGTAAACTATGTTCTCAAGATCAATCCCTGCAAAGAGAGGAGTAACAGGAGGGTTATTATTTTCTTAGCACCAACTCTGTGCCGGGATCTGTGCTTTGCCTCATTACAGGTCTCATTGTCTACTGCAGAATATTCATATTAGACAAACGTTTAAGACATATAGGGCTAGAAAAGATAAAACAGTGGGCTAGAATTTACCCAAATCACCACAGCTGGCTTTTATAGTCCTGCAAAAACATATTTCTTTTAAAACTCACCAAGTCCTCAGGGGCTGTAGACCAGTATTTCCGAGTCAGAAGTGAGTGATACAGAAAGGAAAAGTGTCGTCCATGGTCATGGCAGACAGGAAACAACGGAGCCAGGACTTGAACCCAAGTCTGTCTGACTTCAGTCCAGTCCACAGTGCCCTCCATATTGCCGTAGCTGACTAGCACTGTGTGAATTCTCCAAAGACTATGCTGCAGATATTTCTACCACTCCCCTGCTTTTGTGAAAACCCAGGTGCAGTAGTAAGAACAACTTCGGCTAGAAGGCTGGGTTATATCTTTTTGCACTTTGCACCAATCACAGAACGCTAGGTTTCTGCATTTAAAACATTGCTGGGAGATGACAGTTTAGCTCAGTGGTTTTCCATGTGCTACAAGCAGGTGGAGTAGCTCAGTGGTTCTCAGAGCATGGTCCCTGACAAGCAACATCAGCATCACCTGGGAGCTTATTAGAAATGCAAATGTTCAGAAACTCTAGGGGTAGGACCAGCAATCTGTGGTTTAGCAAGACCACCATGTGATTCTGATTCCCACTCTAGTTTGGGAACCACTGGCTTAGCTTATTTGAATGGCAAGAAAGGAACAAAAGGGAAAGAAACAACTTATCAGAAGACAACACCGAGGCTTGCTGGGTAACCGTAGGAACCCCTTTATTACCACTAAATACGAATCGGCCATCAATGCATAGGGCCCCCAAGAGAATCAGAGGCCATTCATCACTGCAACTGCGTGAGGAACACTGTTGTGAAACAGCAGCTGATGGTAACAGCCACAGCAAAGTTTAAAGGAAGTTCACTGAAACAACTGGAAAAACACACTCAACGTTCTGTCGTAATTTATTTATTTGGTGGTTTATTTAAGTATTTATTTTCTTGGTTTTTGAAGGGGAGGGAGGGTTGGAGAATTCTTAAATCATCCCAAAGGAAATAATATGTTAGAAGGAAATATTAAAACTTTTTACAAGATAATGCTACTGGGATAAAACTCAGGGGATCACACCATGTGCACCGCCCTTTGGAGAGCAAGATAATTGTGCCCAGCAAGAGGCAAAGAGTCTGGCACAACCTTAATCCTCATCTCAGAAAAGTATCTTAAATAATTGGACAGAAGCAGTTTTATTTATAACAGCAAATAACTGACAGGTCTAAATCAGGAATCAGCAAGCTTTTTCTGTAAAGGGTCAGATAGTAAATATTTCTGACTTTGGGACTCACACAGACTCTGTTGCAACTACTGCCCCCGCAGGCGGAAGCAGTCACAGACAATATGTAAACAAAGGGGATAAAACAAATGGGATAAAAATAAAACTTTATTTATGGACACCAAAATTGGAATTTTGTATAATTTTCATGTGTCACAAAATATTTTTCTTTTGATTTTTCTTCAGCCATTAGAAAATATAAAACCCCTTCTTAGCTTGAAGGCAATACAAAAACATGAGGCTGGCTTTAGTTTGCCAACCCCTAGTTTACATGCTTAGACAGTAACAGGATACCTAGTTATTGAGACATCTGCAGCCCCCAAAACTGATCCGCAGGAGGGTTATGCTGCAACATGGACAATACTTTAAATGAGACAAATGAGAAAAGCAGACTAACAAATAGCACTGGTATGATGACCAGAGCCACATAAAAAGCATGTAGGTGGAAAACTACTGAAAGGGAGCATTTGAAAATGAAGACTATCCCTGCACTAGGTGGTCAGATAGCAGATGATTTCTTTTTACTGTAATGATTTTATTTTACATTGTTGTTATACTGCCTTTTCAAGGAGAAAGATATATTTTAAATCAGGTTAAAAAGAAAGAGAAGAATAGCTAGAATTTACTTAGTTGGGAACAGGTGAGCAGGCCTCTCATCCTGTTCTTGCACCCTCCGCTTGCTTTGCTTTTCTCCACCATCCTTAGCATCACCTGACTTGTTACTATTTATTTATTGACTGCCCCCCCACACCCCACCAAGAATGGAAGTTCTAGGAGATGGGGGATTTTGTTTGTTTTGTTTACTGCTTTATCTTAGGTCCTCTGGCACATAGTAGGCATTCAATAAATAGTTGAGCAAATGCATGAATATCTTATTTCTTCTTGGCCCACGCTGGTGACGACTGATGCAAGCAAGTGTCATGCACCCTGGACATTCCACATAGGGAAGGGCAGCTGGTACACTGTACATAAGCACTAGGCTTCTTTAAGCTCCACCCACAGGTTACAGGCTCCTCCTCAGAGCACTCCCTGCATCTCATGCTGACCTTGGCAGAGGGTTGGCCCCTCTGCATTAGAATGGTTTGTATGGGTATCCCTCACTGAACTCCACTTTGGGAGGGCACTGTGTCAACCTTGACTTTATTTCCCATGATAGCAAGTCCTGGCACATAATGGGCACTCAGTAAATGTCTACTGAGTAAATTAATGTTTATTTTCATGTACAATATCTAGAACTTTCCCTCAAGAATCTCTCTTGCCCCTGAAAGACTCTGCCCCGTTTATTATTCTAAGGAGAAATCTCTGCTTCTATTTTATCGGAATGAGTCTCCCCAGTCCCAGGCCCCAGAAAGCCAGTGTGTTCCTCTGTCCACTTTAGGAACTGCAGACAATGGCCTGGTTTGGAGAAAGGTGAAGGTCCCACCTGTTTCTTCTTTGAGGTCCTGAAAGAATTTCTGATTGAAGATGAAAGCCACGCCGCTAATCTCTTCCACCTTGGCCTCAGCTGTGCTGTTTCTGTTTATGAAGTTGGCGGTGATTGCAATAGCCAGCTTCCCACGGAATTCTTTTCTTCTGAATCCTGCAGGAGGAGAAAGGAATAAGTGGGTCTCTCTTCTGGATTTGGTGTGAAAACTGAAAAAGATGATTGTGAATGCTCTTCTCAGATGTCCCACCAAAAAAAAAAAAAAAAAACTAAACCCACTACCACTGAGTTGATTCTGACTCATAGTGACCCATGGTTAAAGCACTCGGCTGCTAACTGAAAGGTCTGTGGTTTAAATCCATCAGCTGCTCTTCAGGAGAAAGATATGGCAGTCTATTTCTGTAAAGATTTACAGCCTTGGAAAACCTATGGGGCAGTTCTACTCTGTCCTATAGAGTCACTATGAGTCAGATGCCCCACAAAAAAAACTCAGTGCCATCAAATCGATTCTGACTCATAGTGACACTGCAGGACAGACAGAACTGCCCCAAGGGGTTTCCAAGCAGACTGCCACATCTTTCTCTCACAGAGCAGCTGATGGATTCGAACCACCGACCTTTTGGTTAGCAGCCAAGCGCTTAACCACTGTGTCACCAGGGCACCTCAGTTGTCCCGCAGAACAGAGAAATCAGAATTCTGGATGTCCAGAGAGCCAGGGCAGGCAGAGGTGCTGAGGTTTGTACCCAAGGAAGAAACATGGCACCGAAGTCCTTTCTAAAGTCAGTGAGATTTTGTCTTTTTCTACAATCTGCAGGACCAGTAACCTGGGTAGACCTCAACAAACAAAAGGCTAAAGCCATCTTCTCCAAAAAGCAATCACAGAGCTGATCCTTTTAAAGATTTGTTAGATAGTGTTGCTAAATATACTCATGAAGGGCCCACATGCACTTTGAACTTACACAATTAAAATTACTTGACTGTATTTTTCACAGGTTTTTTTTTTTTTTTTTTTTTTTTGAAAAGTAGGATTATTAGGTTGAATTGCTGCAGGACAGGGATTTTAACAAATTTTCTTTTTAACTCCAATTCCCTGTGACTAGCACTTAGTACACACTCAATAAATGCACAATGAATAAGCAGAATTCTAACTTGCAATTAATTTAGTACTCCAATGCCTAAGGGTTCTCAAAGCTTTCAATGGTTCACATCAAACCTGCTTTTTTAATGGTGGTTACACAGAAGATCACAAACAAGTGGACCATTTCAATGGAGCATTTTTTCCTCCTAATTCAGGGGTGGATTAGCCAATACGCAAGGTAAGCACAGTGCTCACCTTGCTTACCAGATCATCTGTAGTGAACAATTTCACCTGGGATTCACCACATCTCTGAGAATCTGGCAGTTCCCCTCACCATGTACTCAAGCCTCATGCTGGTTACCAAACTTCTTTGTCAAAAGTCCCTTTGACTGAAAATCCTGGGTTTCTATCCAATAACCCCTCCTTTAATTTGTTCTTCATTAGACCTCTTTCAAAATGGTCAGAAATGGCCATGGTTGTCTAGCCTAGTGGTTCCCAATTGGGTGTGATTTTGTCCCCTAGGGGACATTTGGCAATGTGTGGAGACAGTTTTGGTTGTCACAACTTGAAAGTGGGGTGCTACTGGTATCTAGTGGGTAGAGACTAGGGATGCTATTAAACATCCTACAATGCTCAGGACTGACCCCCATGACAAAGAATTATCTGGCCCCAAATGTCTATAGTGCCAAGGTTGAAAAACCCTGGTCTAGTCTACTCATTTGGTCTCAAGCTGCTCAAATGACTCTTCTCCTTCCTACTCTTCTTTTCATGTTCATAAAAGCAGAACCACACTCAAGCTGAGTGTAGATCCTGCATTTTCAAATATTCAAACTTATAGTCGCAACAAGCCACCAAAACGTACCATAAATTCTAACAGTACAACATCCAGGTAGGCAACTTAAAAATTCTTTGCTAGCTATTGGTTATTTATTGGGGGTGTCATTTAGAAGTGAAGAGAGAGGAATGGAAGTGGGAAAGCAGCACTGGCTGCGTGGCAGATAGGAAGGGCCTCAGCTAGGTGGACCACAGATTCTGAGCTTTCTAAGATAGGTCCTACTTCAGGGAATGTGTTTGGTCCTCAGAAGAGGTGCCCTCCCAGCCAGACACTTGAGCAGGGCAAGCTCAAAAAGCAGAACTGTCCCTAGTCTAAGAGATATTGCTTGGGGCTACTATGTTCACAGTCGCTGGTCTCAAATCAGTACAGGCACAACCTGTGCACCAAATAATCTCAGGGTAGCTGGGGTGGGGGTGATTAAAGGCATTTCCTGGTAAACAGATTTCTGTTTCAACCTGACTGGATCCGACCCCAAGAAAGCGTATTCTGCCCCAAGCTACAGAACCCTGAAAAACATGCTTTTGCACTTCAACAGTTTGGGCAAAACCATCTTATTCCCCAGCAGTTAGTGTACTTAAAAGTTTTGAAAAGAGAGGGGAATATTATACTTGAAAGTAAACTAATACTATTAATAATATTTTAAAAAGATCATCTTGGATTAAATAAGCATGAAAGTTTGTAACACCATGGCTTTCACATAAGCAGATAATAAATGTATGGTTGATTTCTTTTCTTTCAGTTTACATGATACTTTATAAAGTATTTTTACATGCTAGTCCCTTCCAAGTTCTCATAGCAATGCTCTGAGTGGGTTCTATTATCCCCATTTTGCAGATGGGAAAACTAAGGTTCAGAGTGAATTAAATGACTGTCCTCGAAACTCTCAGTCTCATGGGAGCATGGGGCATACTCTACCTCAGCACAACAGTCTCCCCTTCTATCCAGAACCAGCCAGCTCTGGCACTTGCCCATCCTTCCTCACCTTCTCTCTTGACACCCTTTCCCACCCTACCCCTGTTCTCCCACCCCTTTGCCCCAAGGAGAAGAGCTTCACCTTCCAGGGTGTTCCTGCGGCCATCAGCGCCAATGATGACATCAAATTCAAACTCCGACAGAGAGTGGTCTGCAGGGAGAAATTCTGCCCGCCAGCCAATTTCTACCAGGACAGAAAAATGAGGTGAGTTGGCAGAGAGAGGTGAGGGTGAAGGTGATTATATTCCCTTTATGTTGGCCATGAAAAGTGGACAATACAACCAGGTACCTGCATCCTAGGCAGAGCCTCCAGGGGTAAGGCCTAGAACAGTCCAGACTGACACTTGAATCTGGAGACCTGGCTTTTGTATCAACTCAATCCAGGACAAAGTAAACCAGCAACTTCAACTCCAGGTTTAATTTTACTGGTTTCTATAAAGGCCTGGAGTCCACCTCAGTGATTCTCAAGGTAGTTTCACTTGCCTCTTTTTTTTCCTCAACAGATTCTACCACCTTCCCTTCTCCCTTACCCCTACTCCCTACATTCCCATTGTTAAACAGACCCAAAGGATGTGCAGGTGTAATGAAACAAGTTTGAATTTCTATTTCACCATACTCAAAGTGTTCTGTTGTCCAGTACATTGCCTTTTACGAAAACATTTTCAGGTTAAGCCTTGCTGGTTACCCATAATTAGTATTTAACATCTGCTAGAGGTCTAGGAAAGGATAAGATCATACAGGTCTCTGAATGCTAAATAACAAATGCTGTCCTGCTACAAAAGTCAACTAAAGCCTTCCCCGAATTCTCAAATATTCTAGGCAGAGGACAGGAGAAATCAGAGTCGTAACCTGTGGGGAAGCTATGAGGTCTCCAGTGCTAAGCTGGTCCAAAACTCAGAGCCCCGTCCAGGTGCTAGAAGATTTTGACAAGCAAGATGCAGGGGCATCATGAGCAAATTCTCTGACCATGGTGTGTGTCCAAAGATTAGAATTTAAATAAACATGCCAAAAGGAAAAAGAAAAAAATTACTAAGTGAGATATACCTACAATGGGTGAATTTTATGGTTTATAAATTATACCTCAATGGAACTTAAACATATGATGTACCAAATAGTATCTTGGGCATTTATTTCAGATTTGCTCTAAAAGCCTCATTTTCCTTACTGGATTGTTAACTATCATATCAGTACACATGAGTGCATCCACATATCTATGAGTATACACATATATACAACTTGAAAAGCATGTGAATGTGCTTTATCAAACATCCAAATCTAAGTCTTCTATTCTTATTGGTTAGACTTCATTGACCAACGTATCACTTCCTAATGACAAGGTAACCAAATTGCAGGTTTACTGTCTGAATAATAAATCCCTTGGGAGTTGAAGAGCAACCCTAAAGTGAAAGCAAGGGTCAAAAAAAGGTAAAAGATCCTTTGGTGGAATTATTCCCAAAACCTCCCAATAAGAACAACTCTTACAGGAACATTTTGCAATATCAGGTTTCTAGACAGAAAAGGAAAATATACTGTACTTTGATTCTCTTGATCTTCAGGAGGTTCTAGAACCTTCACAAACTCCACATTCACATGAATTTCAATTCCTAGAATTAGGGCCACCTTGAATAGAATGAGCTGTAGCTGACGAATACCTGTTAGGAAGGAAGGGGAAAAGAGATGAACTTCAGTAGCAATGCCTGAGTGCTTCTGGTATGCAGAACACTCACATCTCGGTGATCTCTGACCACAGCAGTATACCAACAGTGATCATTATTGAGTGCTAATTACGTGCCAAGTACTCTCCCAAGCATTTTACATGTGTTTTCTCATTTAACCCTTTCAGTGGCCCTTTGAGATAATTACTATTCTCGTCTTATGGATGAGAAATTGGGCTCAATGAAGTTAAAGGATTTGTTCAAGGTCACAGAGTAACAAAACTAGAACGTGGAAACAGGTCTGTTTGATTCCAAGACTGTGCTCCAGCCATTAGATAATGCTGTAACAAGTGAGGCTCTCTCTTTCCTGTCTCCTTCCTGAGCTGAGCTGCGGGTTTGACAACATCAAGATGGCAAGAGGAATAGAAAAAAAGAGAGTAAATGGCCATAAGTAAAGTCAGTGACCAAATGGCTCATTATGTGGGGGACTATGCCTAAGCTCTTTGCCATCCTGTGGTAAGGGGGGAGCATGGGAAATTCTCCCTATGAGGCTGGGCTCATGGTTGTATGCCTTCTAGCCACTCTCCTCAATGTCCCCAGTGAGTGGTGCCTTGTTTCCCTATTTTGTTCTTGCCATTCAGCACAAATGGGTATGCCTCCCAATTACCTTTCTGCAGAGTGAGAAGCTGTAAACTTTCTGTGGATTCCTCAGTATTTAGTTGGTTTGGCTCATTTGACATTGAGGAGGCACCTAAAATGTGCCAGATGCCCAGGTACAGGAGATCTGACACACATCCTCTGATGGAGGAAACACAGGTAAACAGTATGGGGCAGGGCATGGTGGTTAGGGGACAGGGGCTTGGTAGAACAGGGCCTGAGCTAGAGGCCTGTAAGCCAAGTGAGGAGTGACCAAGAATATCAAATCCCACATAGAGATTAAGGAATACGAAGACTTCAAGAGAACAGGTGACTTGGAAGCAAAGAAGTTACTGGAAACTTTAGTGAAAATCGCTTCAGCATGGTGGTGGGGGACAAATTAGACCACAATGGAAGCAGACATGAATGGGCAGTGTAGCCAACATCTAGACCTCTGCTTTCTAGAAGAACTGCTTTGAAGTAAATGTAACGGGACAGTAACAGAGAGTTGGAGGGATCGTGTGAGGTGATGACCAGGAAGACTAAATGATGGGAGCAGGTGAAAAGAAGAGGATGGAACCAAGAGGGATTAGAGTTGGAAAGGACACAGCCAGCTCACCTCAGGGGTAAGAGGAAAGAATGGGTACTGGGGTAGAGGCAATTGGAGGAGGAAGCGAAAAGAGGGATAGAACAAGGAGCTCCCATTTCATAGCTTCTCTTCCTCAGAGCAGTGGAGAGAGGTCCTCTGCTGACTATGAGGAAGCTGGGGGGTGGAGGTTTGGAACAGCCACCATGGGAACTGGAGAAGGATGCTAACACAGGACAAGTGGAGAACTGCTGAGCAATGCTGACGACAAGAGCACAGCTGGGGCTGGAGACCACAGTCAGCTGGGGTTTAAAGCATCCGGTTCAGCCCCTGCCTTGGAAACAGTCCTTCAAGGGAGCCTGGGCCTCTCCTCAGAGATTCAAAGGTCCTAGTCTATCTCGTCCCAGCACACATTAGGAACCCAATACATTCTCCCTGCTTCCCTTCTCACAGGCACTGAGCTGCCCTTGACAACTGAATGTTTCAATCCTAACTCCAAAGTCCTGCCAGTGCTTCTACCAAGGACTTAGGGTTTAATGGGAGCCCTGTTAATGGGGGCAGAGAGAGAAAGAGAGTCCTGGCCAGGACCCTCACAAGGCCTCCTGGTCACCGTCTCTGCCTCCTCTGGAGGACTCTATGAGAAAGCGGTGTGCAGTGTCTTTGTTCTAAATTGGTAACCAACATACGTTCTTCCGTGAGTGGTAGAGAACATCCTGAAAGCTGACACTGCAGTTTTCTGGGCAAATCCAAATTTCTTTCCATTGAACTCCTGGAATTTTCTCATCCCAAAGTGGGAATAAACTCAGGCCACTGCTGGTAGATTCTCTTGCATCTGACTAAATTACACCCTATGTGGCTGATAACTTTCTCCAGCAATTCCCACCCAAACCCTACTCCCTATTCCCTTGATCCTTGTCCTCATAAGAACAAGGCTCTCAGAGCTCTCCTCTCACCCAACCCCACAGAGCAACACCAGCTGAGAGAATGCAGCCCCAAATTCTTAAGTTAGGAGACCACAGCTGCTGCTTGCTCACTGTATGCCATTGGATGGAAACATTTATTATGTAAGCACCTACTAATGTGTCCTAAGCACATTACAAACTTGACCTTATTTAATCCTGTCAGCAATCCTGGGAGGCAGGCATTAACCCCATTTTACAGGAGGTAAAATTGAGGCTTGAAGAGGGTAAGTAATTTGACCCAAGCCACACAGAAGGTAGATGAAATGGATTTTGAACCCAAATCTGTTCAAACCCTTGAACTTTCTCCACAGTATTAACCTCCTTGACTTTCATGGGTCACTATGGCTATATATAAAATGGCAAAAAAACTTCCTCCCAGCAAAGTTGCAGAGGGAATGCTGCCACTCCCAAAGCCTGTCTGCAGAGATCTCGCTCTGAGAGACTCAGACTCGAGGACTCTCACAGCAGAGTAGCCTGAGTGTTCACTTCGCCCTACCTCAGCGTTCAGGGATGGCCCAGGACCCTCCATGTTCTTTATTTACCCTCCTTTTCTAGCTGAAGCCCCATCATGATGCCCTCCCTCTTAAAGCCCAAGGAAACTTTGGTACAGGACCTGTCATGGAACACGTATCTGATCATGTCATTCCTCTGTTCTAAACCCTGCCATGCTCCCCAGTACTGGCAGCACAATGTCCAAACTCCTTTGCATAAGAGGTCCTAGATCGCCTGGCTCATTTAACGGTTTTGTGTGGCTCCCTCCTCTGAACTTCTCTAGCAAATTTGATTAACTCTTTTAAAGTACACTTTATTAGTTAGCAAATTTCAGTGGCACCCTGAGAGTGCAGACTCTGTTTCTTATCTCTGCCTGTTTTTATTATTTCATACATTTAACAAATATTTATTGAGCACCTACTATGTGCCAAGCACTCTTTTATGTCCTGGAGACACACTGGTGAACAAAACGTGCCACAGTCCTGACCTCCTAGTGCTTACAACCTAGTGGGGCACAGCATAGGGCCTGGCACAAAGCACAAAGCAGGCCATTCACTAAATGGTCTGCTAGCTGGATATGTGGAGCACTCAGGGACTTGTAGGGCAGACAGATGTGCCCCACCCTGGGTCAGTCCCCTCCTGCACAGGGTGCCACCACTGGCCCTACTCACTGATATGGTCGATGGAGCCGGCACAGAACTTCCCATAGAACTTCTTGGCTCCCAGGCCCCGCAGGTCATGGATGGTAAAAGGCCAGAGGTGCAGCACGTTATTCCGGGAAAAGGTGTCCCTCTTCTCCACCACGACCACTTTGGCCCCCAGGTAGGCAAGTTCAATGGCAGTGCGCAAGCCACATGGTCCTCCCCCAATGATGAGACACTGTGGAGGCAAGAGAGAGAAAGACTCAATGACCACTAGCAGGGTGGACATGAACCTCTAGTCAGTAGCATAACTGAGAAGCAAACCCCAATCCACTCAAATCAACCAGCAAATGCAAACCGAGCACCTATTAGGGCCTGTCATTCATCCATCCAATGTACATTACCTATGGGCTTACTATGCACCAGCCTCTGTGCCAAGCCCCATGAGGACACAGAGATAGAGACTTGGGGAGGAAGCACAGTAAGATGTGCATGAGATTCAGTGTCAGACTGAACTGGTTTTAAATCTCAGCGATGGCATCTGACCTGTTAGACCCCTTATCTGTGGGTCTACTGTTCTTTCCTCATAGGGTTATTGTAAATAAGATCACTGTAAAAAGCATATAGTAGGGGGAGAGTACTGACACATTGTGTGGATTGCAACCAATGTCACAAAACAATTTGTGTATAAATGTGTGAAAGAGAAACTAATTTGCTCTGTAAACTTTCACTTAAAGCACAATAAAATTTAAAAAAAAGAAAAGAAAACCAAAGACTCAAAGAAGAAGCTAGTCTACAAGACTAACAGTCTACATGAACAACCATCTCACCTACCTTGAGAACAGAAGAACTACATGGAACCCGGCTACCACTACCAATCTAATAGATGTTCCCTGATAGAATGGGAAAAAGTGTAGAAGAAAACTCAGTCTTTAAAAAAAAAGGCCAGACTAACTGGACCAGTAGAGACTAAACGAACCCCTGCGATTATTGCCCTGGGATACCCTTTAAATGGAACTCAAACCACTCCCAGAGGTCACCTTTCAGCCAAATGACAGATCGGCTCATAAAATAAATAATATCATCTGTGAGTACTGTGCTCCTCTAAATAATCATCTAAATGAAACCAAATGGTAAACATTTACCCTAGACCAAAAATGAGAAGGTAAGGTGGACAGGGAAGCTAGATTAATGGAAAAGAACATCCAGAATGGAAATAATGAGAATGCTGCACTGTGAAAAATGTAACCAATGTCACTGAACAATATGTACAGAAATTGTTAAATGAAAACCTACTTTGCTGTGTAAACTTCCACCAAAACCACAATAAAATATATTTTTGAAAAAAGTATATAGTACATTTTTGTGGCATTGGATTTGGCAATGGTTTCTCAGATATGACATAAAAGCACAAGCAACAAAAGGAAAATAGATAATTTGGACTTTATCAAGTTAAAAAAACTTGTGCTTCAAAGGATACTATCAAGATTGTAAAAAGACAACCCACAGAACGGGAAAAGATACCTACAAATCGTATATCTGATAAGGGGCTAGTATCCAAAATATATAGAGAACTCCTAAAACTCAACAACAAAAAGACAAATAATCCAATAAAAAAATGGGCAAATGACTTGAATAAACATTTCTCCACAGAAGATATTCAAATGGCCAATAAGCACATGAAAATGTGTTCAACATCATTAGTCATTAGGGAAATGCAAATCAAAATCACAATGACATACCATTTCACACCCACTAGGATGTCTATTATCAGAAAAAAACAGAAAATAACAAGTGTGAGTGAGGATGTAGAGAAACAGGAACTGTTGTGCATTATAGGTGGAAACGTAAAATGGTGTATCTGCTGTGGAAAACAGTTTGGCGGTTCCTCAAAAAGCTACATATACAATTACCACATGACTCAGCAATCCCATTTCTAGATATATACTCAAAATAATTCAGAACAGGGACTAAAACATATTCTTGTACACCAGTGTTCATTACAGCATGGCTCACAATAGCCAAAAGGTGGAAACAACCCAAATGTCCATCAACTGATGAATGGATAGATATAATGTAGTATCCAGACCATGGTGGGCAAAGGTGGCAAAACAGGATTCTGAACAAGTCCCATGCTAGGCCTTCAATGGGCACTGCAAAGTTAAACAAGATAAGGGCCCTTCCCAAAGGAATCTACAGCCTATTAGGAGAAAAGAGAAGACACATATGACCTAGTTAGTTATACTGGGCAAAAGCCCTTCTGTTTGAACAAAACTTTATGAAGAGCACCAATACTGTATAAAAACAGAAGAAAATGGTAGTATTCTGGCCCAGAGAGGCAGAACCGTGCCTACTCAGCACTCTGCCCCACTTCCAGACAGCCCCTGAAGAACCTCCCTGAAGTAAGAGTTCACCTGGGGGTCTAAATAACTGAGGATACCCCAGTAAGGCAAGAGGGAAGAAGATGTGTACCCATGCCTCATTCCTTGACATTGCAGACATCTGGAAGCTTCCCCTCTGCTCGAGATCAAGCCTTATCTTAAACAAATACATTCTCTTTCCCCTAGCAAATATTCCATCATCCAGTTATCACTCATTGGGGGCCTCCAAGGTCCCAAAGGGAAAGCGCAAACAAACATATCAGGAGCTCCCACACCACAACCAATGTGGCTTACTGGTTGGAATCTTCCAGAGAGTTTGTGGAAACCCAATGAGGGGAAATGAAGTCACTGCTGAGATACAGCTCACTGCAGAGACGTTGGGAAGTGCGTGCACAAGTCTACTTACTTCCTTTCTGGTTGGAGGCCGACTGGAGAGAACCTACTCCCCAAAGCCCAGTTCTACTCATTAGCTCACACCCCAAGCAGCTCCTCCAGCTCTGGCATAGCCAGACAATGATGGTCATCTCAGAGCAAGACTCAAAATCCCGACACTTGTGAGGTTTGCTCTGGGGTTAAGTCTGGATTCACTGCATTTCTTTGCAGTTAGTGCATCTTTTCCTGTCTGCTGAGTTCTGTCACTCCAGGGCCAGGAACGGAGGAAGGTTGGGAGGGTGTGGGGTACAGAAGGGTAGGCAGGAAGGCAGGAAGGGAAGGACAGGGGCCTTCCTGCATCCTTCCGTCCACCAGGCCTGACCCAGCACTGCCCTGAGGACAAGGTGGGAGAGCCTTTCCCACTAGCCAGGGGGCTGCTGTGCACTTTCATGCAAACGGTAGCTGGTGTGCTGTGTCTGACCCTCCAGACTGAACCTAAGAGCCCATTAGCAAAAGCTCAGTTTTCCCACCATCCTGGGCCCCTGCACACACTTGGAGCCTGAAATTTCAGAGACATCAGTCATACTGTAATCTAAATCAAAGAAAACACCAATGGGTCTAATTATATAAAGGGAGAAAATTCAGTGCAGATGTTATCAAGGCTGGAGCGAGGGCTTGTTGGCAGGGGCCAGGCCAGTTCCTCTCTGAACACGGTTGTTATGATTAACACGGGAACTCGGCATTCTGACAAGAGGCTGAATACCACGGCGGCTACATGCCTGGGCAGAGAAGCAAGAGAAAAGAGGACTTCCCCAGTGTGCCTACAGTTGATGCTCTGGATGTTGGCAAGCCCACACAGACCATGGATGCAAAGGGTTGTGATAACTCAACCCAAAGGAGCCCTCTATCTTCCCCAAACCCATCCCAGCTATTGCTGCTGAGCCCTTACTTCCAAGGCAGGAAAATGTTTAATTAAGACTCAGTTCGACCTCTTCCTTGAGCCCCCAACTTAGAGTCTACACTCCTCCCCTCACCGTGCTCTCCCAGAACTAAATTGTGTGCATTTTAATTCTGTGTCTGACCCCTAGCTAGTCTGAGTGCTCCTCAAAAGCTGCCCCATGTCCTCTGCATTTCTGTAATGTACTGAGTCCAGCACAGGGCCTGGCACACAGGAGGCCTCAATAAATACTTGATGGATGAATGAACTTTCCACACACACCCCGCCCACCCAGTCCTGGCTCTCTATCCATAATCAGGATGTTCGGTTCCCGTCAGCCAGGGTTAATGTCTGCAGACTCCCACCCAGACTGGGGGAGCTGGGGTCTGCCAAGGCCACCAGCATCACGGATGTCAGCATATCTGTGTGCTCCGGCGACATTAATTTATTACCCAGCGGGGAGCGGGGCAGATTCAGCTCCAGCAGTAAATCCATTGTATAGATAAGCTCAGCAGTGTTTAGGCCTCCACAGTACTGGTGAGGGGAGACAAACACCACATGGAAAAATGAGCTCTTTATTTATCAGGAGCTGGAGGGAGGGAGATGATAACCGATTCACCCACAGATAGGGTGCAAGGGTTGGGGCGGCCCCAGACCATGCAGGACTCCTGCTTTACCCCAGAGGGGCCTTGCAAGCACTCCCCAATTCTTGATGACATGGCACATCTCCAGCCAGTCCTCTTCCCAGCCCACCAGTGAGTGGGTGTGCTGGGGCTACACCAAGAAGGCTAAGGGGATTCAATCCCCAGAGAAAGACGCCGAGGGGACCAGAGGCTAAGCCAGGGGTTAGCAGTTTGGAGGCTTGATTTCCGCTTCTGAACTCTGCCACTGATTTCATTGGGAGCTCTGCATGCAGTTACTATGGCCAGGTGGAGGGGGGTCTGCCACTGATTAATCTGATTACCCCAGGCTCTGCACCTCATTTGAAAATGATGGTTATAATATCTAAAATGTGGTGTGCCTGGCACTGTCCTAATCACTTTATATAAGTCATCCTTGCAACTACCCTATGAAGTAGGTGTTATTGTCATCCTCACCCTATAGCGGTAGGAAAAAAGCATAGAAGAGGCATCAAAAAGTTAAGTGACTTGTTTGAGGTATCCTTATTTTCCCCATTTTTTAGCTGAAGAAACCGAGGCAAAAGAGGGTAAGAAAGTTCTCCAAGGTCACATAATGAACGAGTAGTCAGGTCTGGATTCGAACCTGTTATGGATTGAATTGTGTCTCCCAAAAAAATATGTTGAGGTCCTAACCTCCAGTACTTGTCAGCATGACCTAGTTTGGAAATAGGGTTTTTGAAGATGTTATCAGTTAACATGGGGTCATACAAGAGTAGAGTGGATCTTAATCCAATCTGAGTGGTGTCCTATAAAAGAGAAGAGACAGAGAGACAGAGAAAGGACTCCACGTGACGATGGAGTTTTATTGCAGCTACAAGCCAAGGGATGTTTGGAGCTACCAGAAGCTTGGAGAGAAAAGAAAGGGTCT